TGGTAGCCCAGGCTGGCCTCGAACTCACAGAGATCCGCCTGGCTCTGCCTCCCGAGTGCTGGGATTAAAGGCGTGCGCCACCACCGCCCGGCCAGAAGCTCATTTTTTAATAAAAGGGGGACCTGCAGGGTCCTGGCCCCTGTTTTCGGTAACTGTTGTCTTGCTTGAGGACCTTGACCTTGATGTCCCCCCTATGCTAATTCCTTGCCAGGTTCCACCCTCCTGAAAGCTTAAGGGAAGTTCCTTGTCTGTGTATCCTGAATAATGGGCGTTAACAGCTTAGATGCAAGATTGTAAAACATCAGTAGCGAACTTCTGCCTTCTGGGGTCCTCCCATTGTGCTGTAAGCCTGTATTTAAGATCTCCTCCCCCCCTTCAAGAAATGACATTCGACATTTAAAATTAAATATATATATATATATATATAATTGAATGAATACTTCTAATGTAATCTATGAATACCACAAATGTGATTAATATCACGAGTGTAATTTAAAAAATAAATTAATAAATTAATTTTAAAAAAGGGCTAAGAAAGTGAGGAGCCAGCATAAAGAAGGAAATGCCATTTTCCTCCCTTCATCTTTCAGAAAAACCCATTTGTATGTCGGCAGTCAGCTCCAGGAAGGAAGCCACAGCCACACGCGGGGGAGGAGGAGCAGCTGGGAGGAGGAACACTGCGCAGCAGAGACGGGCGGTGGTTGTCAGGGAGTGGAGATGTGAGCACAGCTGTCCGTCCAGCCTTCTGGCCAACACGACAACGGCTCATCTGAGTTCAAGTCAGAAGTGTGAAGTGACTACAGTTACCAGGGTTACTCAGCATTGTGGGTGCAGAGTAGGAAGGCAGAGAGGTAGGCCAGGGAGGGTTAGAATAACCTACTACAAGCTTAGGATAACTGTCTTAAGATGATAACCAACCAAGTAAAACACTTCAACAATACCGTCACTCTTGACATACAGTCATGGGTCTATTTACCAGGCAGGGACTTGGGTAAGCAGGGCACCGAGGGCATGAACTGAAGAAGTGCTGTATTTTGCTTTGTTCTTTTGTTACATGGACTGAAGTTTTCAGAAAAAAAGCCACGTATGTGTCAAAATGCTACCAGGAAATAGATGGGCTGTGTGGTACAATGGATAGCACACTGGACTTCTGGGTGCTCAAGAAAGTCAAAAGCTCCTACCAGGATAATTGACTGAGAATTTTTTACTATGGAAAGTTAGAATGTTGCAGATCAATAGACTAATTATCTTGGACTACCTTAATTCACTTTAAAAAGCCCACCTCTGTATCTAGCCTAACATCCTTTTCAACTATCAGGTAAAAACCTTTGAAATGTATTAGCAAGACCACCACAAAATGATGTATGATCTAAAACATGTAACAGAGTACCCTCCCCCACTGCAAACTACACACCTGAGTTCACACCAGTGTTTAAAAATGCCTCAAGACTGTTTTGTTTGGTGACTATAGGAATTCATGTGATCACTTTCATGATGGTAGACTCTTAGTTGGGCCAATCTGAATCCATGTTCTTGGGCCATGATCACTTTTATTTGGCTCAGAATAAATGATCTCTTATGCTCTTTGAGGTATGGCTGTGATTTTTGTACTTGTTTTAGCCTCTCATATGGGGCCCCATGGGTGATCCTCTCATTGGTAATACCAGCACCAGGTACCAGCATGGCCCCTGGTGCTCAGCCACCCATGTTGCCTCCTGGATGATGTTGGTGAGTTTTTCTGGGCCGCATCTCCCTTTGGTTTGGTCCACAGTCCATTCTGAGCTGACTGTGGATAGCCTCTTCCTTTGTTTTCAGAACATTTGGTCAGAACTCTCATTTATTTACTAGCATTCAGCCATGTCTCTCTCTCTCTCTCTCTCTCTCTCTCTCTCTCTCTCTCTCTCTCTCTCTCTCTCTCTTTTGTT